TCTCTCTCTCTCTCTCTTTCTTTTTATTTTTCTTTCTTCCACATCTTGTTTTAACTCACACAGAAGCTAAAAACTTTTTTAAAAAGTCATGTGAAAGGCAAGAAAACAAATGGAGGCGGACGTTAGACGTGATAGTCAAACTTGTGAAAACTTAAGCTTAACTTAAAACTTAAGAGAAAAAAAACAAATCCAACAAGTGAAACACACACACACACACACACAGTAATGATGATATTGTGCCAGAGGACTGTACAGGCAATATTTGTACCCTTTGATTTCCATTATAGGGCCAATTAAAAGCAGCAAGTGTGGGGCCATTTCCAAATGCATGCATGTCATTCATGTGATATCACCAAGAGCCACCCCGCCTCCTCCAACACACACAACACACCAGGAAAAAAAAGGTGGGGGGAAGAAAGAATCTTAGACTGGAGCTCTATTTAAAAAGGAAGAGAATAAATGGGAATTATTGACAAAAGGCAAGCTGGACACAGTTGAGTGAGCAAACCCCCCTAACCCACCCCCCACCTCCCCTCCCCTCCACAGTACAATACCTCTCTGTCACCAGCACCTACACCCCCACACACACCAGTGCCTTGCCTCCTGCAGCACGTGGAGAGGTGGATGAAAACCAGCGTGGGAGGAGGTGTTTAAGAAGGTGTCCAACGTTAAAGTTTCTGTCCAGTCAGAGGCCGCGTGGGACGACTGTTCAGAAAGTGAGCTGCTAAATTAAATGAGTAGAACGATTACGACTGAAAGGCCAAGCCGTGATTTTCTGCTGCCATTCAGCTTGTGCCCAGATTATGTGTTGGAGGTGACTCTCTGCTACCACCACACCAAGTTTGAGTTCAGTATCTGTACACTGAGACATTCTTTTGTGCTTAGTAAGGTTGATAGGTAGTTGCAGCCATCTTGGATTTGATTAGTTGATGTTTATAGAGTTTGACCCAGGAATACAGATAAAACATAAAGAATTCAAAAATAAAGAAACACAAAGGCTGACATGGCAGAAACAACTTATAAAAGCAGCTGGAGGAGAACAATAACAAAAACATAAAATATGCATAATGCTAGACAGAGGAAGAAGTGGAAAACAGTGATTATATGAGTGGGAGCTGACGAGTCGGGTGGGAACACCTGGCATAATGACAACTGAGAACAGGTGAGAGTGGGCGGGGCAATAGCTGAAACAAAGAAACAAAATAAAACTAAAACAAACAAATACCAAAAGGCAAATCCTGACAGTCAATGTAAAGTCAATTATTACATTCTGAAAGCTTAATTAAAATCCATCCAGTGATCCAAGAGTTATTTTGCTAACACAAACAAACCAGTGTGTGAATATGACTGTAACTGTAAAGTGCTTTGGGGCCCTCATGGGGCTTGATAAAGCGCTACATATGTTTAGTCCATTTACCATTTACAAACGAACACATATGAGCACACAGACATGGTAAAAGCATTACTGCCCTTCACCTTTAGTGGCTGGCAATAATTATGTTTTAAGCCAAGCAGAGCATAAAGTTAAACTGCTCAACAAAAAAGGGAGTTCAAAGTGCAAAGATAAGTCATGGTTTAACAAATGACTGATTTTACAACGTCGTATACTCCCAATATAGGCTAGTATGTTGCGTTTCCTCTCTGATATCGTTGGTCCTTAAATAGAGTATACCCACACAAGTAATGGCTTTGTATAAGATTAAGTCAAATGAAAAATGAATCTAAACAGAATAATTAGTTATCTAAAAATGAATATCATCTCATTTTATTGTTTAAAGTTGTCTCTAGGATAAATATTGTTCCAAATGTAAGATAATTTTTTCTTTTTTCAGTATCAGCACATCATAAGGTTATTTACTTATTACATATTAATTAGGATAATAAACACTTGTTTCTACACAACCTAGTAAATGAAATCAAAGTAATCATCCAGCTGATGCTTGGGTAAATGCAGTAGTTGGCTTATAGTTATGATTAAATATACTTTTACCATATTTTATCTTTGAGCCATTGATATACGTGAGCTGTAATCAGCCAATCAGATTACAGGAAAAGTTTAGTGTCGTCTGCAAATCACCYAATTCGGAAGCGTCACTTGCTGCTAACCCCGGCTGCTAACTTCAGACCAAGAAAGAACAACTGGTGAGATTTCTTAAAGTAAAAACATCATTTATGTCCACATAATTAGAATATTACAAAGAAATGTGTTAAAAACGTCACTATACTTTTACATTTGCTAAACTAGCTTCCTAACATTGACKAGATCCTTGAGTGTTACGCTAATAATTATGCTAATATAGGTAATTAGCGCACTTGCTAATGTTAGCATTTTTAGCTTTAAAGGTAGTTTAAAATGTAAACCTCTACGTGTCACACAATAAAGACAGAGCAAGAGTATTTATGTTTTAGTTCCACTACTTTAAAACAACTAAGAAAACAGCAAAGGAACTGAAAAGTTTAAGCTAGCAGCAATGTTAGCATTTGCAGCTAAGTGCAGTTTTTTTTAGCAGTTAAAAATCATAAAGTTGTTGTATGAGGCTTAAATTATAATACTGAWAAAACAAAAGAGCCAAAATAACATAGTTGAGGATTTGTTATCATGATTAACATGAAAAAATTTGATAAAACAAATCAGATTATTTGTCCTGTCAAACAAATATTTAAAGATTAAATATTTACTGTGCTTTTCACAGTCACGGCCATGTCTGTCTGTGACGACACCCTGCTGTGTAATTACCCAAAGTGTCGGGCCAAGCTGAGCGGCTTCGCCTGGGTCACTGCCTGCTCGCACGTTTTCTGTGACCAGCACGGGTCCGGTGAGTTCAGCCGCTCCCCCGCCATTTGTCCGGCCTGCTCCTCTGCGCTGTCCGGGAAGATGGACATTGTGCGCTCGGAGCTTTCGCCCTCCGAGGAGTACAAAGCCATGGTGCTGGCAGGCCTCCGACCCGAAATAGTTCTGGACATCAGCGCCCGTGCTCTGGCCTTCTGGAGCTACCAGGTCAAATAGCTTCCTGTTTCTACAATCCCACGCTGCATGTGCAAAGCCTAACGGCATGTTGTTGTACGCTTCTYTTCAAATATTTACAGGTTCACCAGGAGCGGATGTATCAAGAGTACAGTCTTTCGCGTTCTGATGCACAGCTGAAGCAGATGGAGAAGGTTCTGACTCAGCAGAACCAGAGCAGAGAACTGGAGCTCACTGCCATGAAGGGGGAGATCACCTCGTTGAAGAAAGTAAACTGAAACTCTTCATCTTCTTCACAACAAACACTGTTGAGATTACAGACATGCCTTTTATTAAACCCTTTGTGCCCAGGTGATGGAGGAGTATAAGAGGAAGTACAGCGAGGTGTCTGAGAGGCTGATGGAGAGGAACAGGCAGTACCAGAAGCTGCAGGGGCTTTACGACTCACTGAGGCTGCGGAACATGGTGGTGGGTGTGGGGGACAGGGAAATGCAGCTGCAGTCTGGACATCAGGACTTAAACACAGGTAATAACCATTTATTCTCATCTTAAGAGGATTTTAGTGKAAAACTCTGGAATGAAAGGCAGTGGGCGATGTGTTTTGTCAAGGAATGCTCTTGTCTTTTAAAGTGGTCCTAAAACATTACCTCAGACTTTCCAAAGGACTACAAATGTTTTTATTTAGTACTTTGGCTGCTTTTTGTCTCGTTTTCTGACCAATCCTTGGCTGTTTTTAGAGAAATGTTTGTTTGTTGAGTCTCTAAACCCTGACCTATAAGTCATTCAGACACGAAAAGCTCCTAAGCTCCTAACTGATAGTGTCAATAATGATACCTGACATCCTGTTTCACCCAGCGATGGCTCGGTCCATGACCCCTCAGAAGAGCCCTCAGTACCCCACCATCGGCCCTGAAGGGGACAGTCGTTTCTTCTCCTTCCTGGAGCACGACGGGCCCAAAACCTTCTTTAAGTTCAGCTCCCCGGCCAGAGATAAGTGCCGCCCCTTCATCACCAAACGCTGACTGCAAATACCTTCATGTTCTGTCGTTACCTGAGCTAGTTCTGCTCAGAGTTCTGGTGTAGAAACAGTTCAGTTGAAGTTGTTATTACAGAATGTTGAATACATGTGTTTGTTTAGAGCAGGAACACTGACAAGAGGATACTAAGTTTCCAGTAAAGCTGTTAACATTTATTTATAAAACACGTTGCATTAAAAGCCTTTCAAAGGAATTTGTCTCAGAAACTTCTTTRTAGATTGTGTCACGTTCATCAAAATGACAGGTTTTCTAATTAAGAGATGATTGTAAAGTGTATATATATACACTCACCGGCCACTTTATTAGGTACACCACGCTAGTAACGGGTTGGACCCCCTTTTGCCTTCAGAACTGCCTCAATTCTTC